TTCTTCCTTTAATCTCCTTTTTTCTTCTTCCTCGCTCCCATAATCTCGACGGTCAGGGCATAGTGAACGCCATGTAGCTGTCTTGATCCGCTTTCCCGCCTCTCGATCGACGTTACGTTAGACGAGTGTCGAAGCAATACAGATTGCGAATATTCGTTCTAGGACCCCCACACAATCCGCTGATCGCCGAGTGATGAGATGTTTTTCACCCAATTTTTTCCTCCGCCATTCTTTTTGCTCTTTTTTTGCTCTTTTTGCTTGATCCCTTTTAAAATTTCCTACCCCAAAAGGCAGAAAAAGGTGAGCCATTTTTGCTGTAGCTAGGTTCTTTGTTCACTTATGCTTATAAGCGGATGAATTTTTGCTTACCGTAGTCAGATATTTGCACCAGGACCCACACGTACGCAATGACGCGCTGTGCGTGGCTCGTCCAAACGCCCAACTTCTCTTCATTCTTCTGGTCTCATTCTCGTCCAGTCCACTTTTTACCAATTTTTCGGATCCTTTTTTCACTTTGGAAACACTGATCCACGCAGTTCCTCCGCCTCCATTGCACTATTTTCCATATTATCTTCCATTTTTTGTCATAATCTAGGCAATCAAAATTATCTCGTTAACTGTGCCTTTAATGGGCAGTCTGAACGTATAAAGTTCACAAGGGAAAAACCGGCAGGGAGTCGGCTCGCCTTCCTCAACGATCAAATTAAATTCTTATATGGTACCCAAAAAATGGAGTATCAAAAGCTTAGCAGCAAGAACATCCTCGTCCACTGCAGCTCAGCGCATACATCAAAGACGACACTTCCATTGTCGAGAGCATGTTTGAAACTGCTTCAGCAGTTACTTCTGAAGGCGCTTTTGAAACGGAGTCCACAGAAACGACTCATCCAACTGCGCAGGGGAATGGCTATGGTTGCGATGGATTGCCTGCGCGGCGTATAAGACGTGCTAGGATGGAACATGCGCAAGAGGAAGAGCATATAAAGGAACTGTTACGTATACCTTTCGTTTCAGATGATATGGGCGCTGCCATTAGCGCATGTCTCTGGGGAGCTGATCTTCAAGATAGTGTGAGAGTGGTCGAGATACATCCCTCGAGTCTCAAAGGACAATTGCTTGGAAATCGCCTTTATGATCGGTGATGCCAAACGCCCTCCTGTGTGATCTACCCTTCCGGAAGGGAAGGTGACCTTATGATCTCACAAGTCGTATATCTCATCATATGCCAACTGTGTGCGGAGGAATATGCAGAACTGCACTCCGCATCAGAATAAAAGAGCATATGAACGGGTTTCAAAAGACTAGAAAGTCCACTCTTTCGGGTGAACACAAGATGAAGCACCATGGAAATGACGGTGTGACAGCCTCTGTTAGTTAATGTCTCGTGAAGATAATATGTCAGCGCACAAGACTCTGGAGGCACTGTGGTTCGCGACAAAAACCCAAGGAATAGCAAGAAGAACGTATGCGTGGCGTTTACTAGGAAGCTCGATCCACTGGGGGTGGCGCGGAACTTGTCCCCAATTTTGGTGGCTTTGCGGCATGAGGCAAAACTTTTTTAGTTGTCTCGCAGCTTCAACCTGCATTTATCATACTCAGTCCGTCTCCCCGCCAGTCGATAGAACACCATATTTTTTGTAGACTGCCTTCCTCTTATCGATTTTGATTGATTTTTCTGTTTGTCTGATTAAAACTTGCCACAGCGCGTTTCGACTGCCGCATGCTAAAAACTCACTCCTTCTCCAATATCGACAGTCGAGACCGCATTGGGGTAGGTAGCTAAAGGATTCCCTAACTCACATATCGTCTGCTCCAATCATCCAACGCATTTCTGCGATAGATGATTGCGACGAGCGCAACGCGATGTTTGGGGAGAATTAGCGAACTTGTGCTACAATTGTTCATTCTACAAAGTCAATCTCCTGCGGTGGAGCCGGGGCAGAGACTGACCGGTGACAATACCCAAACCTGCTAAAAATCTATAACAAGGGTAATGCGCGACCATCAGCAGGAACCGGACCAAGTTAGTGCTTTTTGATTCGAGGGAGGGGGGAGGGCAGGGGAGCCTTCCTGAAGCAGTTTCTGATTCACCTGACTTCTGGGTCCCAACACAGTGAAAAGGCTGTGAGAAACACTCGAACACAGGACAGCTTCATCGCTTCTGCTTCCCACCCCACAGAATGTTATTTTTGTGACTTTAAAAGGTAACCTGATGAATCACAAATATACATATATGTGACTTACCAACTCCGAAGAAGGCGATTCCGCTGAAACGTAAGCTGTGAATTAAATTCTTATCAATCTCAGTGACAGAACTAACTCAAGATGAGTGTTCAAAAAAATTCTTCGAACGACTAATCATGCCTCTTAGATTTCAATACTTTGTTTTGGAGCATTGAATTTCATCTAACTTAGCGCAGGAATCTGTCATGACCTCGTCAATCGCTTTGTGTGTGATTTCCGCGTTATTCTTTGTTGGCTCCACGTACAGAACAACGCAATTCTACAAGCTAAACGGTAAAACGTACACGGAAATTCTCGAACAGCCGTGGTTTCGAGTAGCCCATGAGCCGCACTATCCGGTACGTTTCTTTTGTATCACACGCTAAGGAGCACTAATCATCCTTGTGTGTAGCAGTTTCAACATTAGCTCGTATCAGATACCTCTCGCCTTCGTCAATGAGTCAAATTTTGGCAAACATTTCCTACCGGAAGACGATGTTTACGCACCGCATGAGTGGACAGACGAGGAGAAGAAGTACTTGCCGTGCTTGAATCTGACATGTGTATGCCCCTACTATGGAGGTGAATTACAGTTTCCTGTGGTCATCCTTGGTTGTCGGCTGACATTGCCAAAAGAAGTTGTGTGTTCACACTGAGCTTAATTACATAGAGCGCATTGGGCTTTCACCTGACCTGAAACTTCTTACCTACCTCTTTGCCGGCAGTTGTCACAAGTCCCGAGTGTGACCGCAGTCGTTGTTGGCAATCTTTTATGTAGCATGTTAGAAAATGATCAACGATAAGCTGAAGGGAAAATAAATCACTATTGAACTGTTGCTTCAGGTAAAGTTTCTGGCTCGAAGTGTGTGCTACCGAATGGCAGTCTGCTACGGAAGGCTGTGCGAAAGGAGGCCCGCATGCTCACTGACGGAGAACGGTTGCAGATCGCGGTAGGAGCAACATATCGCAAGCTTTTTCTTGTGCTGCAATATGTACGATTCCCCTTCTGAAGATCGCTTTCAACGAAATGAAGACATCGGGAATGTACGACCGCTATGGTTTCGTGCACAAATATAGCGGATTGCATGAGGGACCAGGATTTTTCACATGGCATCGGGAGTATTTAAAACGGTATGTAAGTCTCGCTCCTGATCAAGTATTGCTTCCACTGATAGTATCGTTTTAAGATTCGAAATAGCGTTTAGACGATTTTTGCCTCCGGGCAGTCGACTCGGTTTGCCTTACTGGGATAGTTCGCTTGAGGTGGGGAATACGACTAGACATTTTCTGACACAAAAATCGTATGGATTCTCACCTATTTCAGTCGGAGCTGCCTGATCCTCGCGAATCCATTTTCTTTACACCTCTATTCGTTGGTGCAGTAAACCAGACGGGCCAAATCGTTGATGGCCCTTATGCCAGCTGGAAGACCATGGAGGTACTCTATACTCCATACAATGACTTGCCCCTTAAGGTTACCTAGCGAAGTGCCGATTTGAGACACACGCCGCCAACCATGCTGATTGGCAAGTTTTCAACCAGATCTTGCAGTTTCTTGTCCACCAATGGATTTCTAATCATCCGCATCCCCATCCTTCACCAAAATCAGTCATTTTTGAAGTGCTCACTTACTTTGAATATTCAGGGAACTCGAAAAATCCTTCGCTTTGTACCTAACATGGAAGTTGGTGAAGTGTTGAATAATGCCCGAATAGACCTTGTCCTGGATCAGAAGAAAATTGACATGGTGCTAGCAGCGTCTATGCCTTTAGAGGTACGAAGCTTTGTTACTGGTATTGATTGCGTACTGATTTCTGGCAGCCCTTCAGACCTGCAAGATCCGTGTAATAGACGATCGATTGCTGGCATATTCCCATGACTATGTGCATTACTTTATCAACGGAGACATGAAGGACACGTTCTCGTCAACAAGTGATGTAGCCTGTTGTTACTGTTTGTCTCAAAGGTGTCATTAATTGATGACCTGATTGCAGCCAATATTTTATTTTCACCATACGATGATTGATCACATCTGGGAGATGTGGAGACATTTACAACAAGTATGTTCAGTGTTCTACAAATCAAACGTCAAAGGCATTCGACTCATGCATTTTCAGACTCGCGAGCAACGTGAGAAGGATTATCCTCCCCCACTTGGTGATTGCTACCCAGAGGCACATTTCGCCAATGCATCGCTTCAGGTAGGAATATTACGAAATAGAATACTTTGTTCAGTGTGAATGACTGGTTCGATCAGTATTTTGTTCCTGGTGAAGGTGAATGATTTAAGGAACTGGATCCGTATACAAACCAGGACGTCCTATCCAACAGCTACACTGACAATATGTACGAGTACGAGAAGAGGCCAAGTTGTTCGCTCATGAAGCCGAATTGTGGATCGAAGTGAGTGGACCTACCTTTACCGATCAAGAAATTTTTATAGAGCTTTCTTCAAAGGGTACGAGGAGGAACTATTCAAAATACATAGGACAATGATGAAGACAGGCTTTGTAAAACATGCATAGCAGTATGCCGTTGAGATATCGGAATAATTTCTTTCACTAAAATTACCCAATGTGTAATGTGTAGAAATAGTTGTGGGTCGTGCTTAGTCTCCAGTATTTTACCACAATTTTCTATTTCTTTTTTTTGTAATAGATAGAACAGTAGATTCTACAAGCCGAGTTCTACAAGACAGAGAGATTTTCTTGCTCTCCCATCACTTTATTCACAGATCAAGGTAAAGAGTCTTTGAAAGGGTCTCTGCAGATCATTGGTGTAATAGTAGAATCGTGAAGGCTGATAAGGAAAAAATGAGGCTAAGTTGTGCCACGCGATATATTCAACCAAGCCACGCAGAAGAGTCAACCAACCTTTTATCCAAAAACACTAGAGCCTCAAACTTGGGTAATTAAACCAACAATAAGCAGGATGCGAAGTCTAATGAAACTGGCAGTCAATCAGCAATCAAGAGTCAAAAGACGCAAAGTACAGAACACTGAGGATTAGAGTTTATAGCCCTTGAACAATCAAGAGTAACAAGCTGAAGTAACAAGGAGTAACAAAGAAAATGTTGTGCTGAAAAGCAGGATCATGATTACGAGTCAACCGACAGTTTATATAGTGACGACGCGGGCTCGCGCTCTGATGAGGAAAGAGGTGACGGTGCAAGTCACCATCCCTAACATATAAGCTTTAAAGCATACGAAATTGTTGTACCTTGAGAATGCGGCTCTCCGCGATTTTCCCAGTCCCAGAGAGAGTGAGAGAGAGGGTTGGAGAGGGTGAGCAAAAGGCTGCTTTCAGAGTTTGCCGGCTAGCTCCGCGCACGCGCCAGGTGACCGGCAGCTCTTACCCTTGTTCACAACACTTAATGTTGATCGATACCGCAGGCCGGCAGTGACTGATTTTTCGGTATTGGAGGCGGCCGCTGCTTTTTTCTCTGCTAATACAAATGCAAAAATACAAAACTACAATAAAAATACGAATACAAAACTTTGGGTTCAACCTCACCTCGTCTGGGTTTGGTTGGACCGGTCAGACGCGTCCGGCGAGCAAAAGGAAAAGCGATTCATAAAAGAAACAACAGAACGCGGATAACAGTCCAAAAGAAGTGAACAACAATAATGCTCCACGCCGGGCGACGGTGTACCCTTAATAGGGGTGGCCGCACCACGTCAATACGTCGACACAATAACGGAGTAGAGTAATAACTGAGTCACATTAGTACGTTGACCAATTGAAACGTCAAGGAGGTCTATCCATACTCTACACGCCCCTTCGTGGGGAAGCCAGGCTTTCATTTGTCTTGTCCCTTTTCTGCTTCATGAGGTGCGCGTGGCGTTTACGTTCAGATTTGGCGTCTCGTACGTATATCACATGGAGCTTGGCAATCTTCGGCTTCTTCTTAGGCGGCTCGTCCTTGAGCTTGATTGAGGTGGCGGTGGTGTCGGCGGCGGCTCCTCTCATGTCTCGCTTGGCTGGAAAGAATGTTGGTAGTGATGGCAAATTCTCTGACTTGCTTCAGGAACACCGCACGCTGCCGTGAATGAAATCTGTCATCATCACGTCTTGGGCTGACTCCGAGGCTCGTAGCAGGGTGTCCCAATGGCACAGTCGTGTCGATCGCTCCATACGCATCGACTACACGTGCATCGAATCCTCTAGCGGGTTCTCTAAGCTCTTCAACGACTCTGGAACGTAGACTGGACAGGGTAGTCTGAGCCTTGGTGCGGAAGATGTTACACGTGCACGGATGGAACAGATGCAGTGGATCTTCCTGCGAAGACCCAACGTCGACTCTGAAACACGCCGTTTTAGAGTGATTACCTCTACTCTTTTTGAGTCTGCCCCTTTTTCTTCTCTCTCTAACAGTTTGTTCTGGTCCATTATCTATGCCTACCGGCAACTTCCTAATTAGATCAAACTGCACTTTTAGCGGCTCAGCGTTACCCGCTGTAGGGGTTGCCAGTGCGCTGTTGTCGCTGACATCAATGACACTGA